TAGCCGAGACCAAGCTTTATATTAACTCGGCAAGACCGGACCATGTGTTCAAGAGAAACTGGAGCAAATCTACTGGAAATTAGATAAGAAAGGCATTTTTAGGGCGGAAATGCGGTTTGGGTGCCGAGTCACATCGGTACAACAAATGCGCTAAAAAGTGTTAAATGTCGAAGTCGAAAAACTCACTATCCAGGAAAAATTTTCAGTTTTTTTGGAAGTCCAGTTGCTTCCCAGATCACCCAAGCAGCGCAAACGGAGAATTTCAAATTGAGAAATGTGTTTTTCCCCTAAAGATCGCAAGTTTCGGAAGACTCACTTTTTAGAAGCAGCTATTATGTTTTTGCATTCCTGGGGTTCAGTCAAACTGTGAAATAAAAATGTTTATTTCATATTACGTTTCGGCGAGACAACAGCGCCATCATCAGATTTAAAATTCAACACAAACCCATAATTGAGAAACATTAGATTCGTTTTAGGCAGCCAAGCCTAAAAAGAATCTAATGTTTCCCAATTATGGGTTTGTGTTGAATTTTAAATCTGATGATGGCGCTGTTGTCTCGCCGAAACTTAATATGAAATAACTTTTTCATTTCACGTTTTGACTGAAACTCAGGGAAGAAGAAATATAATAACAATTACACGCTGTCGGGAAAATAAATCAAAACTTAGAAGCAGCGAAGAGAATTTTTTTTGAGAATCACTTTTGCAACGTGGACGTTTATTTGCGATTTTTTTTTATTTGACGACTGAAGAAAGCCTTCTGAGTCGATTGCCAAATGTAGTTTCGTCTTCAAGATTTAAGGCGTGCTTCTTGACTTGGCGCTGGGAAGACTCACGAGTTAGACTCTAAAAAATGAAATAGACGCATATTCATTGATCCCTCAGTTCCATTCTGCGCCCTTAACCTTGCCAGAGGAACCATTAAATACCTCGGGAGCACATTATTTCAATATTCGTTCCCCACATCGAGCGCCCCATTTATAAAGGCGATGCGGTTATGGTTATGGGCGCATTAGAGACACTTTCAATCGACAAGGGATCATTTAGCTCACAATGTTTGAGGAAATTGAACGTTCGGGCCGAGGCAAAGACCGTTATATTGCGACATATTTCAGCGAATTGTTTAACCAATTACCGGCCATTATTTCATGTAGACTCGTGAAATAAATGCCCAATCACATGGAGCTTTGAGGGCATTTGCTGGAAAAAGTCCAGTCAATAAGGGTGATTGCATGGCGAAAGCGCGTAAATTGTTAGCGGCACGTCAAACTACACAGAGCTCAAGTTGCACTCGCTCTATATCTTTATTGGATCGAATATAGTTTCCAATTTGCGCCGACATAGAGCCAAATAGAGTGTGATTGAGCGAAACAAGAATGCTCGGTAAATAAACAGCAATATCAAACGGTTGCATGTTGCGGGGGCGAAAAACTGTTCAATTCTGATCTGTGCGCCCAAACGGCCAATTCTTGCGTTTTTTCATCGTCTCGAGGAGAAAACCGTCGATTTAAAATTACCTTCGGCAAATATTCCACCGGCTGAATAAAGCGAAGTAAATGCATTTTGAGCGGCCCTCCAATTGAGAGGCAATCAATCGAAAATAACTTCTTTATGCGAATTCCGATGAAAAATCTCCCTTCGGCCTATTTATACCGAAAAAGGCATCAGGTGTGAAATCGAGTTTTTTAATTTACATACAAACAGGGCCGCTCGTGATATATAGCGGAAAATCCCCCCAGTATCTCAATCTAGTGAGTTTGGGATACGGTTTAGTCAATGTGAAATGAGCACTCTAACAAAAACATGGAAACCCTTCCAGTCACAATTTAGGTACATTAAAGGATCTACTGATCTTAGACAAATACAGTTGTGATTTTCCGTTGAGAGTTTAACTCTTTTTTGTTTCGGTGCCTAAAACTGAACAGTTTTTATTGTAGCCTGCTTGTTAAAGAATTTAGTTTCACTGTATGAAAATTGCGACAATTGGCCTCATTTATAAGCGGCACATGCAGTCGCGTGTGTGAGGCACGTTCCTTTTAAACATTTAGGCTTTTAGGAACTCTTAGAACTCTGTTTAATTAAACCAACTCATTAAACGGAAAATTTCCCTGCTGTACAGCTGTGTTTTTTCGCGTTGTTCGGTACAAAACATGTCCATCCGGTTGTCAACCTTTATCACTTTGATTAAGTGAAAAAAACAAAGGAAGACACTTTCATAAATTCCCATAAAAAACGGCCTGTCAACATCTCCAACAAATGAAAAGCTTTATATCATTGTTTTGTAGTTTGTTTTTCGACTGTATTAAGTGACATGCTGAACTTTGTACATATGTTATGTAGGGAACGTAACTAGTCGGGCATTTATCGATATCTTGCGCTCGCACGTTTCTACAATATGGAAACGCCGGGTTTAGCTGATTTTCGCAATAGGAAACTGATATGAGCTTTAAAGCTTGAATCCTCCTCACTCCAGATGGGCTTTCAATAGCACATGCAATGTATGGTCCCAGTTAACAAACGTTTGAGAAGTTTGGCGGAATTGCATATTTCGACTAGAAGCAGGCAAATCAGAAAGTTGGAGAAATTGGCAAAATTGAGCAGATTTTTACACAATTCCGTATGGGGGAAAAATGTTGATGATAAGAGAGAAAAAGAGGCTTAAGCCAAAGCAGCTCACAAAAGCGAAAACTTTCGCATTTTGGCCATTTTAGGCTCAAGTTTGCAAGGTTGTGAAACATCAGTTGACATTGTGATTCTTGCACAATTTTCAACGGTGATTCCTAAAGGTTTTCTATAAATTGTCTCTTAATTTCACGTCGGTACTTGCCCTATTTTTGGAGTTGACATTTTCTTTACCGAGCGCAAACTTTTGCATTTTGGCCGTTTTAGGCCCAWGTTWGCAAGGTTGTGAAACATCAGTTGACATTGGGATTGTTGCACAATTTTCAACAGTTATTGCTAAAGGTTGTCAGTAAATCTTCTCTTAATTTCAAGTTGGTACTTGCCCTAATTTTCGAGTTAACATTCTCTTTACCGAGCTCAAACTTTTGCATTTTGGCCGTTTTAGGCCCAAGTTAGCAAGGTTGTGAAAAATCAGTTGACATTGGGATTGTTGCACAATTTTCAACAGTTGTTCCTAAAGGTTGTCTATAAATCTTGTCGTAATTTGAAGTTGCTACTTGCCCTAATTTTCGAGTTAACATTTTCTTTACCAAACGCAAACTTTTGCATTTTGGCCATTTTAGGACCAAGTTTGTAACGTTGTGAAACATCAGTTGACATTGTGATTCTTGCACAATTTTCAACGGTGATTCCTAAAGGTTTTCTATAAATAGTCTCTTAATTTCACGTCGGTACTTGCCCTATTTTTCGAGTTGACATTTTCTTTACCGAGCGCAAACTTTTGCATTTTGGCCGTTTTAGGCCCATGTTTGCAAGGTTGTGAAACATCAGTTGACTTTGGAATTGTTGCACAATTTTCAACAGTTATTCTTAAAGGTTGTCAGTAAATCTTCTCTTAATTTCAAGTTGATACTTGCCCTAATTTTCGAGTTAACATTTTCTTTACCGAGCTCAAACTTTTGCATTTTGGCCGTTTTAGGCCCAAGTTAGCAGGGTTGTGAAAAATCAGTTGACATTGGGATTGTTGCAGAATTTTCAACAGTTATTCCTAAAGGTTGTCTATAAATCTTGTCTTAATTTCAAGTTGATACTTGCCCTAATTTTCGAGGTAACATTTTCTTTACCCAGCGCAAACTTTTGCATTTTGGCCATTTTAGGCCCAAGCTTGCAAGGTTGTGAAACATCACTTGACTTTGGGATTGTTGCACAATTTTCAACAGTTATTCCTAAAGATTGTCTATAAATCTTCTCTTAATTTCAAGTTGCTACTTGCCCTAATTTTCGAGTTAACGTTTTCTTTACCGAGCGCAAACGTTTGCATTTCGGCCGTTTTAGGCTCAAGTTAGCAAGGTTGTGAAACATCAGTTGACATTGGGATTCCTAAGAGTTATTAATAAATCGTATCTACATTTCAAGTTGCTTTTTGCCCTAATTTTCGAGTTAGAATTTTCTTTGCGAAGGAGAAACTACTCAAATTTATCCACAAACGTCAATAAATCTTCTCTTTATTCTCTTTCGAACGAAAGTTGACTAAAATAAGCTCAATTTGCACTAAACATCTCAATCTTTTGAAAGGGCACCCGATTTTCAAACTCCTCTAGAAAATTTTCAAAAACGTATGAAAATCGTCTCTTAAAGAAGGGTCTGTCTCCAAAACTCGGAGAGACTAAAATAGGCGAAAATCATGAGGAAGAAGTCACTGAAACACACTCTCTTTACTCTCCCTTGAAGGGAAGTTGGCTACAACATCCAATTTGCACTGGACATGAATTCCTCGAAGGTGCACCTCTAGACCAATTTCTAAAGTGTCTGGAAATCGCCTTTTAAAATATTGAGAAAAAGTGACGCCCTCTTCTAATACCCGTAGAGATTCAAATGCGAGAAAATAATGAGGAAGCAGCCATTAAAACACTCTGAAGACCTTCTTAATTGAGCAAATACTCCAAACCCCTCAGGAATTCTTCGATTTACTCTCCCTAGAAGGAAAATTCGATATAACAAAATTTCCATTCCCACTGTGGATGAAACCTTTCAAACTGCACCTGAAATCCGAATTTAGCAAATCGATTTATTCATGTCCAGTTCCAGCGTCCTCATCCGAAAATCAGTAAGTTGTTTCTGCACTTCAATATATATTTATGAGCCAACTTGCATGATGAAGTTCGATCGAGCTCGAGCTTAAACCAGGCCGGTCATTTATTCAACATACACCATGGTTTAAATATGCGCATTATGCGAGCAACCATTTTTGTGTGGCCGATTTGATTGTCCACCATTATGCAAAGTGAGTTTGCATCGGATTTTCAAGCCGAGAAATTAATGTTTCTTTCTGGAAATCTTGTGTCCACAACTCCATTAGATTGTGCATATTGTTTCAGGGCGAAAAGATGCCCATCATGAAAAGTACACCGATTGGAAGCAACTGTGGCATCCAAACTATGAAGACTACAGTAGGGCTGAAGCCTCATTGGGCCTGGACAACAACACAGTCACAAATGTGACTGTTCAAATGGGAGCTACTGCCTACTTGCATTGCAGAGTGAGGCATACGCCTGATCGAACTCTTGGAGGAGGAGACGTAAGTTTTTCACCATCATCAACTTCAGATCTTCGGTTAATCGATTTTGGACGGCGGCTGGTCGGCTTTGGTATCAATTTAGACCGGATTTTCTTGTGCGCCAAGCCAACTTGCCTGCGCTATTGTTGCCAATTGAAAAACCGCCTTTCCGGGTAAATTATTCTCATGCTCATTAAGTGGGAACCGGAAACACGTTATCGAAGTTTCCCCTGAAGCCCATTTGTGTGCCAAAGGAAAGCTGGAAATTACGTTCCGCCAGTTTGTGTTGTGGGCTTTTTGCCACTTATTTGTTTTTTATCGGTTAAGCACATTGGCCTAAACTACTTGGAATTATACTTTGTTGGGGGGGTAAATGTTTGGCGAACGGCACTGGAGCCTCCGCTTGGAAAATTCCCATTAGAAACGAATAAAATTAGGAACCTCTGTTCAAACAGAGTAATTTCAGTATTCAGTTGCCTGACTGGACTATATGATTGATTACCTCGGATCGCAACTCTCATTCCTTAAACTAAGTAAGCGCCCTTTGAAAACTTCCAACTTTCAGAAGCAGAGCATTTTATTAAGTTTAAAAACAAAAAACTCTATTTTTCCAGCAAATTTTCCAGAGACTTCTTTACAACCTGAGGCAAAAGCGCGGAAAGTTTGATGTGTTGATTACAAGTTTACTAATATTTAATATGCCCGGCCGGGGCATCGAAAATGAGAAAAATTTCTCAAATGCTGCAGCTGGCTGGCTGTTGGCACGCTTTTTATGTAAACACAACTTTCCGTCCTAATCAACGGGCTTTGTGCAGGAACTTCTCGCCTTAAATGGATTAGTTTGATGGTGTTTCCCTATTATAGCAAGTGTCTTGGGTAAGACGAAGAGACTGGCACATTATTTCCTCGGGAGTGTTCACCTACACCAATGACCAAAGATTCCAGATTCTTCACGCTGAAGGCTCGGACGATTGGACTTTGCAGATTAAGTACGTTCAAAAACGCGACAATGGAACATACGAATGCCAAGTAAGTGGACAATTTAACGATCTTCGGGTTAAGCGTCCTAATTTATGCCAAACTACACTTTAAAGGTCTGGTTATTGTGCGAAACCAGACAAAACAGCATTTATAAATCCGTCACGAATTTTCATGAGGGACGAAATTATGTTATGGAAATTCGAGGCGCTTTCATATTCTGTTGCGGTCCCGAAACAAATGAGGCTCCTCAGCTCCTGGCTGGGATTATTTCTAACAAGTTTTAGTGCGATTTTTCAACCGCGATACTAAACAACTGATGAGGTGGCTTCCAAGCAAGAACACGCCACCTGAGAAAATGAACAGCGCAACAAAATCAACTAGAATCCGGGTGATTCTAAACCTCAACTGTTTTGCGGAAAATTTGCCAAATTTTCCGCAAAGCGCTTCGCGCTTAGAGCATGACTTTGCATGAGGTGCAATGAGGGACAAAAACAAATAATTTTGATCAAAAACAAATAGCGAAAGATTTATAGATTAGAGATCATTCTTTCCAGCTTTTTGCAAGCTGGGGCCCCATCCTCCATTTTCTGCCCATTAATCCGTTTAAGGTATTTTCCGCGAAAAAATTATGAAATAAGTCTCGAATGCTTCGTCGCTTTGTTAAAAGTTTTTGAATCTGGGCCAAAAACAAATAATATTTTAGCAAAAATCGCACAAAATTAGCGAAAGTTTAAAAACAATTATTATTTGGGAAACTCGTCACCCCAATCCCTCTGAAGACTGCAGAGTTTGTTGACTGTTTTTGTTTGTTACTTTTGACTGAATTTTTTTAGTGCTTTCCTTTCTGCAGAAAAACGCTCCATTTTGAAGAGTTTCACTTAAAAATGCTGGCAATCTGGAAGTCTTTTACTCGTAAAATTGGAAGACAAATTTATAGCTTTGTGTGAATTTTAGAGAAGCTTTTTCAGTGTCGAATTCGGGGCAAAGGCGGAAATAAATTTCTCTCGTTTTTTACCGAAAATCAAGGTTTTCTCAAAAAACGATTACAACACTAAACGTTTTTAATCAAAGGTGCAAAGGACCATTATTTTCCGATGCTCTTCTTATTTCCTGGCAATCCTGGGGCATTTTCAGGCAAAAATGACAAAATTAATTCTGCTGGAAAATTCGCCTCATTCATCGCTTTGCAGCCAATTTGAGAAAACCCTTTTCAGCTTCGAATTTCGCATAAAAACCAGATAATTTTATTTAGTTTTTTTGCGAAACTAATTAAGATTAAGTTGAAAAAACGACCAGAGAGCAAAAGTTTACAAAACATTATTTGGAAGATTCGCCACCCTCACCGCTCCGAAGATTTTTAGTTTCTTTAAAATTTCAGGTCTATCAAGTTTCAGCAAAGTGTTTCTTAAGCAATTCTTTCTACGCAAAAATGTACTATTTGCTCTAAAGTTTTACTTCAAAATACTTTATTTTGATTTATATTCCTGACTGCTTATAAATGTTATTATATTATTTTCTTTCCTGGTCATAGTGTGAAGCAAAAAAAATTGATATATCGTTTATTTCGTTACGTTTCGGCGAGACAACAGCGCCATCATCAGATTTTAAAATTCATTCAAACTCATAATTGGTTTCAATACCAATTATGAGTTTGAATGAATTTTAAAATCTGATGATGGCGCTGTTGTCTCGCCGAAACGTAACGAAATAAACGATATATCAATTTTTTTTTGTTTCACACTGTGACTGGAGCCCAGGATAGAAAATAATATAATAACTTCAAAATACTATTTAAATAAATGTTATTGGAAAGAAAGCAAAAGCATATGATCAACCAATTGAAAAACTCGCCACCCTCATCGCTCTGCATTTGTAAGTGTCTTCAACATTTAAGGTTTTCCCCGTTTTAGACTAAATATTTTCAAGTAATCGCCTCTCCAGACAAGGTAACTCAGTGAATTTTTTAGGTTGGCGCAGTGCTGCGCAAATGGTTGATGCGCCAACCCAACCACATGGCGCAGTAACTCAGAAAAAATGTTGATGACCTTTTTTTTAGATGTTTCAATTCCAGTCTCGGTCATCGGTAAATGAGTTATAACTCATTAACTCAGTGTTACCCAGGCCTGGCGGTTTCTTAGTGAAACGCTCAAACTGCCTGACTGCGATTCTTCAACCTAATTATTTGCTTAAGACTTCCCAGGCTAAACTTTGAAGGCCTTTTGGGGCCGTTAGGCCGAAGTAATGGGACGTTTCTTAATGAAAACCGGTAGAATAAATGATGTTTTTTAAGCCTTTTTGCCTTTTGTGCGTTCTTCCTTCTGTTGCGAAGCAAAAGGATTTTTCTGAAACTGTTAACGCGAATCAATGTAAACGTAATAAAACCGCCCTTATCTTTGCCAAATGTACCATTATGCGTCTTGGCACAATCGCAATTATAAATGATGGCGCAAACAAACGTTGCCGAATTGTGTCATTAGTTGTATTGTCAAATGCGGTGTAACACAATCCGTGTCTAACAATGTACCTAATTTGCATGCGAACCCATTGAACCCTTCAACTGATTGATAAATCGCCCACAGTTCCATTCATTAGTCTGCTTTATTTTTATTAATGGTCTTTCGCGGGCCGCGATGTGAACATGAATTTTGTTTCGCATTTTTCGTTTGTTGAAAGCAGCTGGGGATCTTAAGCCGTTCAATAATCTCCGCTCATTGAAACAGTTGTTCCGACAATGGATGTTGGCAGCGCATTATGCCAGACTGGCGCATGATAAAACTCCCCATGGAGAAATACGAACAGGCGAATGAAAATTTCAGACCCCAATTTTCACTTCATTATGGTGGCGAAATGGATCTGCGGCAGGACAGGCCGTAGTACACTTCACTATGTATTATGGAGAATTTGTAGAAAATTGCGGTCTAATTAACAATGACCCACTTCTTTGCCGGCGTGACGCGCAGATTTCTTGGAAAGACCGCTGGAGGACAAAAACAGTGATGTACTTCAAACAGGAAACCCTTCTGGAATGTATCGAAATAATTTGGAAACTAATGCGCTTGATGAAAAAAAGAAAGAGCCGATTTTGACACGCAAAAGAGTCTAATGTAGTTGTTCTTTTCCAAATCGAAATTAGTTCCTGGGTTTCAGGCATTTATTGTCTCTATTTATCAATTAAAATACGTTTCGGTGTATTTCTCCACCATCATCAGTTATTCTAAAATAACAGATAGTCAAACATTTTTTTTATTAATTTAAAAAACAATCACAGTTCGTCAACAGCCTTTTTTTGGACACAAAGCGAATAAAATATTGTTTGTATTGATTTCTTTTACTTTCAGCAATTTTTCTTTGAATTCTGAGAATATTATTTTTGGTTTGCAAAAATCTTCAATATACCGTATATATAATTAATGTATGATATACTGCGCTAAGATTGTCAGTATCCGATCTGAAATTCATAGCATTGTTATGTTTTTTAATCTGTATCATTTCATGAACTTTTCTCTTGTTATAATTACTCTCGTTAATCAGTATTTTTGTGTTATCAAAATCAAAATTATGCAACTTCTGTTGTGCATGCTGTGCTAATGCTGTAACATTTTCGTTATTTTTTCTTAGGCTATACTTATGTTAGTATATTCTTTTCTTTAGATATTGTCCTGTTTGACCTATGTATGTGTTATCACAATTCAAACAGTCTATTTTGTAAATTACATTAGGCGTGTCTAACTTGTCAATCCTAGGTTTAAATTTTGTGAAACATTCATATTATGTGATATGAATATATTTTTTATTTTTGTGTTAATTTCCGGAATATATTGTAATGATATATACTTGATATCACCTTCACTTCTTTTATTTATGTTTTTCCATTCAGTTGAATTGTATATTTTATTTATCCTTTGCTTTATGATTGGTTCAAAAAATGACTTTGGATAGTTGTTTATTAATAATATATTTTTTATTTTTTCAA